AGAAAACTAATTTTATTAGATTTAATAGTCGAAAGTTTTTGTCACTTGAATTAGCCTCTGAACAAGGAAAAGTTATTTCTTCAAAAAAATATGACATGGCTTGTAGTAAAATATTTAGAGATGCACCCGAGGACGTGTAATCGTCAGGTTGGCCGTGTCGGAGATAATATCGAGCTGAGTTTTCCCAGAGATTGGTCGATCGGTAAATCCTGTGGTGAGTTCTCTTCCTTGTCTCGTGATGAAGATCGGTGTAGTGGAAGAAGTTCAGGATCTTAATTTAGAATGATGTCAAAGCATTTGGCAACGCAGGTATGCTCAAAGATTATGGGGATGACGGTAGACAAGTAACAAACGAACGAGACACATACAGGGATAACTAAATATTATAGCTCAACAGGCCTTACAGCTACACCTCCCCGCATGGGCCCCGCTGGGTAACTGGTCGGATTGTCATTATATTACCGGCCAGGCCAACGTAGTCGTTGAATAGAGTTGTATAGGGGAGGTTTGATACAGTGAACAATTACGAGGACAGATTGACATTAAATTAAATACAACTTCATTCACATTCTGTCTAGTGATAGCGTTAAAGCTGGAGGGCAGGGTTTTTCCTTGCTCGGTGAGTTGACGGTGCTTTTGTTTGGTGAGATCTGGGTTTTATTTTACGTGCGTGCATAGCTTTTTTAAGCCCAGGAAACGGCCTGTTCGAAACGAGGCAGACGAAAGTCTCACCAAATAACTCGACCAATTTCCAAATTCAAAAGAAGGCAGACGAAAGTCTCACCAAATAACTCGTGGTACGTGAACGGCAGGAGTGACTGTAGCTCTTATGGTAATAGCGAGCCGCGTAAAAAAAGAGATCTCTGAATTTTTCGCGCATTCCGTAAGCAACCCGTTAGAAACTTTTGGAGATCACCACAGTTAAGCAAGTAGCACCCTCCTCGTGTGACCTGTCGTGAGTAGGTCGCGTGCCACCTAGGCATATTACTGAAACCAACCTAGCTACCTCTGCAAAAACAGAACCCAAGAGCGAGGCCTTGAGTCGTTGTCAATTTTTTGCCAACGCAGGTAAGCTCAAAGATTCGGGGACTAGATTAGACAGAAACACGAACAAGACTTTTGAAAGGGGGAATGGCTCATACAGGTCTTACGGCTATACCTCCCCGCATGGGCCCCGCTGGTAACTGGTCGGGTTGTCATTATATTACCGATCAGGCCAACGTAGTCGTTGAATGGGGTTGAAACAGTTAACTGATTACGAGGACAGATTGACATTAAATTCAACTCAATTCACATCTGTCCAGTGATAGCGTAAAAGCTGGAGGGCAGGGTTTTTCCTTGCTCGGCGAGTTGACGGTGCTTTTGTTTGGTGAGATTTGGGTTTCATTTGACTTGCGTGTATAGCTTTTAAAGCCCAGGAAACGGCCTGTTTGAAAGGAGGCAGACGAAAGTCACACCAAATAACTCGTGGTTCGTATAAGATGAAATTAAAAGTTGAGATGAATTTAGATTTTTGTATACGCGACCGAGTGCTGTATACTGCCTTATACGTAACGCGGTATAAGAACCCACACGGGTTCTACGAAGATACCTTCCTTCGTATTCTTGAATAAAAGAGTGAACATTTGATCCGTGGTGTTCAGTGTTTTTATACACCCGGATCGTGATTTTCGGAAGGGAGTTGAATTTTGTTATTGGTCTAAAATTGCAAATTTAACAGAACGTGGACGGTGTGTTCGTTTCGTAATCGAGGTGATTGTCCGAGTGGTTGCTGAACTTTATAAAGTACAGGCGTTGCACATTTCATCGAAGGGGAGAGACCCTGTTTGTTATATGAGGCAATGCCGGATATAACAGCATCCCCCCTCAAAGAAGGGGTGCCTCAGCATCTCTTCTTTTGAAATTACGGGTGTCTCGCCTTCGGTGAAGAGTCATCACCTTACTTTCATTTCAAACTGTTTAACATTTTTTAATTTTATTCTAATTTTCGTTATTAAGTGCGTTTCCGCCCTTTACATGTGTAAATATATAAGTTTTATAGTATATGATAAATTTTATATTATAATATGTTTACAATTATATGATTATATATCTCTAGTTACATTATGGTTCTCATATAAAATGTGTATTGACTTGAAGTCTTCCTTTTGAATTTTTGCGCTTTGTTTCGCAGAATTTCTAATTTATCAGTAGTAGTATTGTTTTTAGTTTGTTATCTGACATAGATGGTGTTTTTGTCTTTCGCGGCACAATTTAAGTTAGTCATCTGGCGTGTAAGTTTGAATTTTATTCGCGTTCTTTTGTAATTTTTGCTGAGCAAGAGTTTTTGTTATTTTAAGTCGTGGCGAATTATTAAGTGTCAGTGTTATATAGGGAGTGCCCCCGAGTCAAAAAACAAATTCTAGTTTTAACCTCAAAAGCCTCAAATCCTTTGATGTTTTATTTGCCGCACAGAAAGTAACTCTACTTTAATACTCAAAATCCTCATTGAAGATTTTGATGTCTTAATGTGAACCACCCGTTGATTTAGAGTCTTTACTACAACCTCAAAAGTCTCATTCAGTGAAAAGTTGTATTTTGGACTTATTTTTGAGAAAATTTTTGCTTTATCAAAAAAATTTAAGTTACATTTACAAATTAACATATAACATGAGAAATATGTCTCAACTTTATGTAAAAGAGTTATTAAAAAATCAAAAAAAATTTTCTAAAAGATCAGTGATAATTTTTTTATCTGACAGTATAGTTTTTGTAGCATTTGTTGGCATATTATGTCTGTTAGGTACAAATTAATGTGACGAAACACGGAATCTTGATTTTTAGGCGAGAATTAAAGAACACCTACGCTCACGTTTAAGGAATGCAATTGTACATAAATCATTACTAATAAACTAATAGATAATAAATAATATCAATAAAAATCTAAATACATATTTATTATTTTATTACGTAACGAATAATCAATTCTCAGTGACCAATGGACAAAATAATCCTTCAAGTTCGAAAAATTGAATTAGGTTCATTAACGTGCTGATACAACCGTAGATACTCAATAATTAAATGATTTTTTGAAGCAACTTACATAGTACATCAGGTAATTTAATTAATTTTTTTAAATGCTGTAAAAAATTTGAAACGTTTTTTGAAACCAAATCCATGTAATGATTCATCAATGCAAATGCTTATTCAGATTTTAAATTTTTCAATCTGTTTTTTTTTTCTCAATCACAATTAAGTTTTTAATAATTAGCGTTAATTTAAAAATTTTGGGATTCAGTTACATATCAGTATTATGAGAGTCCATCATGTCTTGAAGTCGAATAGAGTTTTAAAAGTTTCATACTCTTAAAAGAAGATAGAAATGAGAATAATTAAATGACCTTATAAAAAAATGACTTTACATAAAAGGGTTATGACAGTCAGAACAAAAATAGATTTTTTTTGCATTTTTTCAGAGTATATATAATAATAATTCTGTATCGATTTATAAAAATGAAAAAATGAGATTGTTACATCATACAGTTTTGGAAATATTTAATTTTAAAGTTAGAATTTTTTGAGTTATACATTGCACTGTAGGAGAAAAGAATAAAATTTTCTAGTATACTTGATTATAACTCATAAACTTTACGTAATACTTCCATAAAAACTAAACTAAAACTAAACAAAAACTATTAATTTGTTTGAAAAAAGGTTTCATTTATGGTGACCATATAAATTTTTAAACATTATTAAAAAATGAGTACAATATTCAAAAATAGTCATGAGTAAAAGTGTATAAGGAATAGTAATGTAATTAATATTTTCTTTATCTATCTTCTTGTCACAAAAATTTGTAAACTTAATTGACATAATTTTTAGTTAATTTAAGTGAAGCTATTGTTTGTTTACTGATAGTAAAAACAGTAATAAATGATACTTATCTCTAAAAAAATTTATTATTAACGATAATAAAACAAATAGTTTGAAAAGACTCCTCGAGATAAAAAATGCATGGTTGGAAAACAGCATTATTTCTTTCCCGCATATAGTAGGTTTCAAATCCGAACGAAAGCCTCAAAATCCTCATTGAGGAATATGAGGATCAAATGAGAATTCCAATATGTTTAAAGTATGTACAGTTATCGTCAGAACAACTGCATGCGTAGTATTCGCTCCGAGGGCAACTAATACGCTCACAGAAAATGTGAGTGTATTACGCGTCTGTGTATATCCGTGAGTGGGAGTGAAGTTCCGATTTTTATCGCAAATGTCGCGTCTTATGGGAAATAACATGGGATTTCCTAGGAGCGAAGTTATAAAAATTGCCACCTCGAGCGCTAGCCCTGTTGCCCTCGGAGCGAATAGAGTAGTCGGTTAGGTTTAGGATTAGAGAGCGTAGGGTTCCGTGTTCGAGTCCGAGCGTCGTACGATTTTAGATCAATATAATTTCGATACATAGGGAAACAAGAAAGGTAAACGTGTTAAGTATATGAAACGATAATCTGAACACCCAAATTGAAACAACAATCCCAAAAAAAAAAAAATTTTTTTGGTTTCAATTTGGCTAATTTGTTTTGATGGAATTAATTACTAAAATGTTATATGACAACTTGTAACGCTGCCAAAAAATTTTACACCTCGATCACTTTGAATTTATTTTATCAGATAAAACCATTTGTTTATTTAAAAAATGCAGGGAGGATTTAAAAAACAATAGTGCCACATTCATTTAAAATTTATAATAGTAAAATTATTGAATAATATTGTGAGGGTTTTGAGGTTCAAACGTGAATTCTGAAGTTCTATTTTTACCCTCAAAGTTGTAAAACCGTCCGTAAGTAGGATTTTGAGGTTCAAATCGTGACTACTTTCCATATTGAAATCATCTTGAAATTTCAAATTTGCCCTCAAAAACCTCACTGAGGATTTTGAGGCTCAAATTGGAATTTATATTTTGACTCGGGTCAGTATTCTTCAGACAGTGTACGTGAGTAGTACAAAAAAAAAAATCTTCTAAAATGTATCCCACTGAGAGGTGCTACGAGAATTTTGGAACTTGGTTCCAGTATGCTACTGGTGTGTTTGGCGAGCGGGTAAGTGGTTTTATTTAAGAAAGGATAGGTTGTAAGGGTTTTAAGTGTTGTTATGTTTTGTTTTTATAGGATTTGCGGCGAGGAGTGAAAATTTTGCGTCTTTTGATGGGTCCGTTAACCCCTGAGGATGCTCTGGACCTGGTCAGTGAGTGGATAGCGCTTTTTGGGCCTGCTGTCCTGAGGTGTCGGCGGCTGCCGCTTTCTTTTACCTCTTAATGTTGAAGGATCCCAATAGTGAGGAGGAACATATTGCTCCCAACCTTTCCGATTTGGAAAGGTTACGGGAAGCGCTTGTTGAATTTATTTTCAACAAGGGTTTCGTTTGCTATTTTTAAAAAGTGAGTTGAGAATTTTTATATGTTGTTTAAAAATATTTTTATATATATTTTTATATATATTTACATAAATATGTATATTTTTTTTTTTGTTCTAGAGCGTCTTATTTCACTGACCAAGTCTTTTCCTGTTGTTTGGTGAGGCCTTGGACGGAATAGTTGGGGTCGAGGAGAAAGAAGGAGTATTGGTCCTCACGTAGTTTTGGAGTAGAAGAAGAAAAAATTATTTTGGAAAAAAAAATTTTTTTACAATAAAAAAAAAAGGATAAATTTAAATAATGTTTTTGTGACGGGTGGGCCTACCCTCCCGTCAATATTATGATAAATCATATATATTTCTATAAATCGATGGGCCATTTTGCCCACCTGAATTAGACATCGAATTTCCGTTGTCCTTCTAGACTGACTCTGGTTACCGAGAGTCGCTACTTGCACGTGGTGCTGATGAGACGCTTTCTCATGGGAACCGAGCGAACAAGTACTTTAATACAGGGAACTGCTTTCGGCGCTTTAATACCTTTTTCCGCTGACTAAGGAACTTGACAATAACCACCTAGTTCCCGAAGGCGGAATAATCTTAGTTCATTCGCGGAATAATATTTCAGCGTATAATACAGGTGTCCGACGGCATCTGCGACCGAGGTGGCACAAACCTGCAACCTCCAGAATAAGCGACCACTTGTAGTCAGTCAGTCGTTTTAGTCTGTCC